TGTTCCCCTCCCTGTGTCTATGTGTTCTCATTGTTCAACTCCCACTTATGAGTGAGAACACCCAGTGTTTGGCTTTCTGTTCTTGTGTTAATTTGCTGAGAATGATGGTTTCCAGCTTCATCCATGTCCCTGCAAAGGACATGAACACATCTTCTTTTATGGCTGCATACTATTCCATGGTGTATATGTGCCACGTTTCCTTTATCCAGTCTATCATTGATGGGCATTTGGATTGGTTCCAAGTCTTTGCTATTGTGAACAGTGTTGCAATAAACATACGTGTGCATTTATCTTTATAGTAGAATGATTTATAATCCTTTGGGTATATATCCAGTAATGGGATTGCTGGGTCAAATGGTATTTCTGGTTTTAGATCCTTGAAGAATCACCACACTGTCTTCCACAATGGTTGAACTAATTTACACTCCCACCAACAATGTAAAAGCGTTCCTATTTCTCTACATCCTCTCCAGCATCTGCTGTTTCCTAACATTTTAATAATCATCACTGTAATTGGCATAAGATGGTATCTCAATGTGGTTTTGATTTGCATTTCTCTAATGACCAGTGATGGCGATCTGTTTTTCATATGTTTGTTGCCACATAAATGTCTTCTTTTGAGAAGTGTCTGTTCATATCCAAAAGAACGGATATCATAAGTCTCTTAGGCCACAGTGCAATCAAATGAGAACTCAGGATTAAGAAACTCCCTCAAAACCTCACAACGACATGGAAACTGAACAACCTGCTCCTAAATGACTACTGGGAAAATAATGAAATTAAGGCAGAAATAAATAAGTTTTTTGAAACCAATGAGAACAAAGACACAATGTAACAGAATCTCTGGGACACAGCTAAAGCAATGTTTAGAGGGAAATTTATAGCACTACATGCCCACAGGAGAAAGTGGTAAAGATCTAAAATTGACACCCTAACATAACAATTAAAAGAACTAGAGAAGCAAGAGTAAACAAATTGAAAAGCTAGCAGAAGACAAGAAATAACTAAGATCAGAGCAGAACTGAAGGAGATAGAGACAGGAAAAACCCTTCAAAAAAATCAATGAATCCAGGAGCTGGTTTTTTGAAAAGATTAACTAAATAGAAAGACCACTAACCCAACTAATAAAGAAGAGAGAAGAATCAAATAGACACAATAAAAAATGATAAAGGGGATATCACAATGATCCCACAGAAATACAAACTACCATCAGAAAATACTATAAACACCTCTATTCAAATAAACTAGAAAATCTAGAAGACATGGATAAATTCCTGGACACATACACCCTCCCAAGACTAAACCAGGAAGAAGTCAAATCCCTGAACAGACCAATAACAAGTTCTGAAATTAAGGCAGTAATTAATAGCCTGCCAACCAAAAACAGCCCAGGACCAGATGGAGTCACACCCGAATTCTACCAGAGGAACAAAGGGGAGCTGCTACCATTCCCTCTGGAACTATTCCAAACATCAGGAGGCCAGCATCCTCCTGATACCAAAACCTGGCAGAGACACAACAAAAAAAGAATATTTCAAGCCAATATCCTTGATGAACATCGATGTGAAAATCCTCAATAAAATACTGGCAAACCGAATCCAGCAGCATGTCAAAAAGCTTATCCACCACAATCAAGTTGTCTTCATCCCTGGGATGCAAGGCTGGTTCGACATATGCAAATCAATAAACATAATCCATCATATAAACAGAACCAATGACAAAAACCACATGATTATCTCAATAGATGTAGAAAAGGCCTTCAATAAATTTTAACATTCCTTCATGGTAAAAACTCTGAATAAACTAGGTATTGATGCAATGTATCTCTAAATAATAAGAGCTGTTTCTTATTAAACCCACAGCCAATATCATACTGAATGGGCAAAAGCTGGAAGCATTCCCTTCCAAAACTGGCACAAGACAAGGATGCCCTCTCTCACCACTCCTATTACATGATTGTATATTTAGAAAACCCCATTGTCTCAGCCCAAAATCTCCTTAAGCTGATAAGGAACTTCAGCAAAGTCTCAGGATACAAAATCAATGTGCAAAAATAACAAGCGTTCCTATATACCAATAACAGACAGAGAGGCAAATTATGAGTGAACTTCCATTCACAATTGCTACAAAAACAATAAAACCTAGGAATACAACTTACTGTACAAGGGATGTAAAGGACCTCTTCAAAGAGAACTACAAACTACTGCTCAAGAAAATAAGAGAGGGGGCCGGGCGCGGTGGCTCAAGCCTGTAATCCCAGCACTTTGGGAGGCTGAGGCGGGTGGATCACAAGGTCAAGAGATCAAGACCATCCTGGTCAACATGGTGAAACCCCGTCTCTACTAAAAATATAAAACATTAGCTGGGCATAGTGGTGCATTGCCTGTAATCCCAGCTACTCAGG